CTTTATGGACACTTTATGTAACATTCTTCCTGTTTAACTGCTTTCCTGCAAAAATAAAATACACAGATTTCTTTTGACTCTGTGGGGGGGGGGGGTCGTGTGGCATCTTTTGGAGAGATGGGTAGAAATAAGAAAAGAAAACTTACACAGTTTGTAAGGAATCCTAAGGTCGAATGGTGAGGAGGTAACTTAGGAATAAAAATAAGAAATCCAGAAGGTCTAGGAAAGTATGCCCAGGCTTTGGCATTTAACTGAAAGAAGGAGAAGACGACAAAGGGCAGAAAACAGAAAAGTTACACTTTTCTGAGTAAGGACCTGGGACAGCCAGCAGGCATAGCACATGGCTGCTAGACTGCACAAGCAGTAGGAATTCTGGGAAGGAAACATTACATTAAAGGGATAATTACTCCTCCCAGCACTTGAACTTGTTTTAAGGCAAACTGGCCTTCCTGAGGGGTGGATCCTTAGCCTGGTGACTGAGCAACTCTACTGGATCAAGTCTTAAGGGAGGAGATGATGGCCTATCCACACCCAGAGGTAGATGACACTCTTTTAACCGGAAGAAAATAACTTTCCCTTAATGGGCTTTCAATGCTACTGTAATACTAGGATCCATCCCCCCTCTGACACCCAACACTGGGGGTTTAAGTACATGGACCAACTCCCAGACTTCCTATGAGTGTTGAAGATCGATTTCAAGACCCTGTGCTTTCTTAACAAACACTCAGTCTTTGAGTGACCTCAGCACCAAGATCCACAGGTTTTGTTTCTCTTAATTGCAAGTAATGCAGTTGCACTTCTGTAAATATAGTTTGCATTTCATCAAAATGAGAAAACGTTTTCATTTCGAAAGTACTCATTTGCAAATAATAAACACTTCTGACTCCCTCCATTTACTGTAGCATAATTTGCAAAAATATAAGTATCGTTTCATAAAACACATCACTTTATTTCAGAATGTTTTTCAAATCTAAAGAAATAAAGAGTGCCTAGCACTTGTCTTTATAACATTTATCAACAGATTTTTATTAGTGGGTGAGTCTTTTTACGTAGTCATCACTAGTAACTAAGGAAAAATTGACCATGTTTGGAATTCCTATCCATTTTCATTGATATAGTGTTGGCAAATAATTATTCCATATCTTTTGTTGATCTGGGTTTGACTTTTACCTGTATTTAAAAGACAATTGTTGCATCATTATATTATGCTCTTTGGCATAGGTAATATCTATAGTTTTATGTATAGATAATCATATTAAATCACTTATTGGCATTAAATCCTTTTTAATGTTTAATGGTCACTTTTATTATTTTTATGCATTATCTTTTATTATTTTTATACATTATTATGTTTTGTGTGAGATTGCTAAGATTATAGAGATCTTTTTTTAATTTGGTTATTATTGACAAGGATCATAAAACTATCCATGGAAAAGTTGTAGTATTTGTTTTGTTTTGTTGGTTTAGTTTTTTAAAAAGACATAGTATTTCAATTTGTGACTTCATTAAAACCAACACAAACATGATTTCAACACTTAGAAATATATCAGGTAGAATATTAGATACCATTTGCAATTATTTATATCTAATTACAAAAATATTGAAGAAACATAAACAATGGGAGAAATGTTAGTTACTCTGGGTACTCCAACGTGAGCAACATTAGAGATGAGTGCCACACAGCATTTTTGAAGTCTACATAAATATGCTCTCTGAGAAATCATAGAGATGACTCCTGTTAGGAATGAGCTAGAAGTACTGGATAAACCCTGATGTTCTAATGTAATGTCTTTTTAAAATTCATTTTGCTTATGTGTTAAAATTATTTTTGGCATGCACAATTAAAATGAATATGCAGGTTCAAATTTAATGCAAATATAATGTAATCATATATAGTGGTAAGGCCATACTATTTTATCAGCTAGAGTACTCTAAATATCTTAAAACCAACCAAAATTATATCTTTGGGAACATTAGATGCTTCATAAATCTTTAAAGTTCTATACATAGATTTTGGCAAAGATTTCCTTTCAAAACAGATTCTGAAATATACTTATATACATTTTTATCTTTTTATATAATGGGTAACATAAAATTCATGTGGGGTTTTCAAAATGTTTGTTTTGTTTATTTGTTTTTTCTTTTTATCAAGGGCTGCTAAAAACACTATTGGCATAAAAAATTTAAAATGGACCTGTTACCATTTACAAATATCGTTTTAAATGCTCTAAGAAGTAAAGGTAAGAATTATAAATATAAGATGTTGATAAAAGTGTGAAAATAGCCGGGCGGTGATAGTGCACACCTTTAATCCCAGTACTCCGGAGGCTGAGGCAGGTGGATCTCTGTGAGTTCGAGACCAGCCTGGTCTACAAGAGCTTCCAGGAAAGCTTTCAAAGCCACAGAGAAACCCTGTCTCAAAAAAACAAAAACAAAACAAAAAAGTGTGAAAATATATTTGTTAATGAATTTGAAATCTGTTTTTCTGTTTATCCTCAAAAGCAGAAGCGGCTAAACTGAACTTCATTAATAAGAGTGATAAAAATGAAAACTTCCCTGCATTAAAAAAAAATATATTGAAAGTACTGAAAAGACAAATCACAAACCTGGAGAAAGCATTTGAAAGTCACACCCTCTCTCTCTCTCTCACACACACACACAAAGACTTAAGCACTGTATAAAGAAAGGTCATAACTTCATAATGTAGAAAACACATGAGATGACTCCATATTAAAAAACAAAACAAACCTGAACTGAGACCAAAATGTATTCAGCCATAAAATACGGACGAAGGATCTGAATGGACATTTTCCATGAAAGAGTTACAGGTGGACAATACACATACTTAGTTTGTTCAGTCTCATTACACTTGAGGTCATCCAAGCTCAGTGTAAACAAAGCAAAACAATCTCACCATCAAAACAATTGAAAACCACAGTGAGGTAGGGCTTCCTCCTCTTACCTGATTATAATCTAGACAGAAACAACAGAGAGCAAGGGGAGACCTCAGGATACTGCTGTATTGCTGTATTGTGGGTGGCAGCTCGTTGGAAACAGTCGGCCACTTCCGCAGACTTTAAAGATCCTGATCATTAGGCTCATTAGAGAATAATAAGAGCAGATACACATGCACCGCTTACAGGGAACTGGGATGGGGACGCAGCAGCAGAAGGGTGTGTCCCTATTTCTCAAAGTCAACGCCCACAGCCAGTTAAACTCCTCAAAGTCCTGTGATAAGTCTTCCACCCACTCTTCCTGCCCGCCCAGCTCCTGGGATCCCTGCTGCCACCACTTCCGTGCTCAAGCCAAGGACTGGCCAGGAGTTCCACCGGATGCACCTATCTGTCTTCCCTGCCCACTCAGAAACAACTGTGCCGTCTTGCTCCGTAGGATTCCCATTTCGGAACACAGGTAAGGATAACCTCGATTCTGTCCAAGAACATGATGGTATTTCCACCCAATTTCCCCCTTTCCTTTCCCAGCTTGCACAGTCCTCTTACCTTGTGTAGCCTACACAGGAACTCATGGTTTGCTTGGTGCTGTGTGTAGGACACCACAGGAGCTTAAGCAGAGAGGCACCCTGGTCTTTTTCTAATCATATTTTGCCTCAGTGAGAGAATAAAGAAAATAAAGAATTATGTTCTTGGTGATGTCTGCAAAGATACATGGACGTAAGAAAGACTTGAGACCGAAATGTAGAACAGGACAAAAATATGGTACATGAATAATAATAAAAAAACCAATAATAGTCAAAAATTGGGAACAAAGCTAATATCAGTCAAATTAGAAATGAGAACGTGTGTACTTTCTGTTATAAAATAGATTTAATATTAGGTAAAACAAAACTGTCTATATCCTACATGACAGTACTTTCAAACCTTGTAAACATTAAAGCCAGTCACAAAGCACCACCCATTTTCTATCAACTACACGAAGAAAAGCTCAGAGTAAGGAAACAAGGATATTACATAGCTAAGGGGTCACAGCCTGTGTCCCAAAAGCCAGGTTATACACATACAGAAACATACACACACACACACACACACACACACACACACACAAAGCCAACCAAAGAAACCAAATTAATTGTGAAATGCAGAAAAAACAGATTTATTCATTGTGATCACTTCAGGAAGACAGACAATGAAAGCCAGTCACCCTTAACCTACTCCATCTTTGGGATTCTGACAAGCCATGTGCATAGCTAAAGCAGTCCACCATGGTGTGGTCCCTTGCCACCATTATCTTAGCTCCTAGGCTCTTTAGAAAGCTTTGTCTACATACCTTGTAAATGGCCCTCTTGAGGACAGACTCCTCCTGGGTGCCCCCAAGGCTTCAGACATTTCTTCTCCTAGCAAAAGGTCACTGGGAAACTTCTAATTTCTTGGGGTCCATTCTTTCAATAGTCTGATAGTCACAGAGAGAAGCAGAAGTGTCTCAAAATATATTCATTCCTGCAGGCTGACTAGTTACAAGAAAGCAGAGTCCTGGTTGGGCAGAGCTGGACCCAATGGGCTTCTATCTAGGATAGAATAAGCTCTAAACTTAATTTCAGTGTTTAGAATTCTGAGCTTATACTGTGAACCGCTGACTCATATACCTAAAATCATTTAATAGTATGGTAAATGATTGATATTTCCAACATTCATATGAAGACACACTGTGATATTTAAAAAAAAAAATGTGACCCAAGAGTTATGTCTTTCTTTCAAGTTCTTTATCAAGGAAGCTACATTAGAAGAAGGCGGGAGAGAGAGAGAGATCTCACTTTCCACTGTTCTCCCAGTACATTATGCATTCAAGGTCACTGAAAATCATGAGTCATTTCACAGTTTCACATAATGCCTTCTGGTTTTTGCACTTGGTATCCAGAGGCTATGACTACCCAGTGTGTGTTTGCTTTTGTGAGTACAAGTTACACTTTAACTAATTATTACTCTGTCTATCTCTTCAGGAGCAGAGCAATCACCATTTGAAAGGCAGTTCTGAATTTAACCAAGATGTCTGTGAAAATTATAGCAGCCCTGCTCCTGCTACAGCTGAGTGGCTTTTTTGGACCTGTGAGTGGTGGGAAGGTGTTGGTTTGGCCAGTGGAATTCAGCCATTGGCTCAACTTAAAGACAATCCTAGATGAGCTTGTGAAGAAGGGTCATGAAGTGATTGTTCTAAGACCTTCAGTTTCCTTTTCTTATGAGGTTGAAGACACATCTGCTATTGAATTTGAAACATACCCTACGACATATGACATGGATGGTTTAGAGGAATTTTTCATAGAATCCATCAATAAATACATTTATGAGCTACCAAAGCTATCATTTTGGAGATACTTTTTAATGTTGCAAGAACTGTTTTTGTTAGAATCAGAATATTCTGAGAGTCTCTGCAAAGATGTTGTTTTGAACAAGGAACTCATGACAAAGCTACAAAATTCAAGCTTTGATGTCATCCTGGCAGATCCCTTCTTACCCTGTGGTGATCTGCTGGCTGAGATTCTCAAGACACCACTTGTGTTCAGTCTCCGCTTCTTCCCTGGCTCCACATACGTAAAGTACAGTGGCGGACTCCCACTACCTCCTTCCTACGTGCCACCTGCCATGTCAGAATTGAGTGATCGGATGACGTTCATGGAGAGGGTACAAAATGTACTCTATGTGCTTTGTTTTGACTTCTGGTTCCAAACATTTAATGAGAAGAAGTGGAATCAGCTTTACACTGAAGTATTAGGTGAGTACTGTTGAGTTGGAATTGTTCCATTCTCAATTGCTGTGTCATTGAAGGAGACTTGAAAGAAAAGGATTGGCAGCAGAAGGTTTTATCTCTCCTAGGTAAAATGGTGAAAAGTCTGAAATTATCTGTTAAATTCAAAGCATTGCAGAAAAGCCTATGTCCCAATGCCAAATTGAAAAGCCTTGGCTACTGGGTTCCAGGAACCCAGTTCCAGAGAGGGAGGAGTGATGAGCAAAGGGGTTAAGACTGGGCTGGTGAAACCCACAGAAATAGCTGATTTGAACTTGGGGGAGCTCAGGGACCCCAGACTGAGAGCTGAGAGGCCAGTGTGGGACTGATCCAGATCCCCTGAATGTGGGTGTCAGTGAGGAGGCCTCAGCACTCTATGGGGCCTTGGGTAGTACATGGGTATTTACCCCTGGCACATGAATGGACCTTGGGAGCCCATTCCACATGGAGGGATGCTGTCTCAGTCTGGACACATGGGGGAGGGCTGAGGCCCTGCCTGGGATGATATGACAGACTTTGGAGATCCCCCATGGAGGCCTCACCCTCCTTAGGGAGCAGAGGCAGGTGTGGTGGGGACTTAGGGAAGTTGGTGGGTGGCGGGGGAAGAGGGGAGAAAGAGAGAACTGGAATTGACATGTGAAGCAAGCTTGTTACTAATTTTAAAAAATTTTTAAAAAAAGAAAAAAAGAAAAGCCTCGGCTATGACTTGCACAAAACACTTCACTATGGCACATACTCACCAAGCAGTACTTTGTGGGTTTCTCTAAGCAAGTACATAGCCATTTACTATTTTACCTCATGTTTTAGAACAATTTTACCTGAGTGGTGTTACAATAAATCTTTCCTGCCAAAAGCCGCCAAGCACTACTGCCATGTGTGTGCTTTATACCAGCCCCTTGCTCGAGTTAGGATCCCAGATAGTACACAGAGACTTCTATTATGTACAAATGCTGCTTGGTCAATAACTAGGATTCTCATCTGTTAGCTCAGTCTTAATTATCATAAATCTATATATTTTATAAGACTTATCTTATCGGATGCCTTCCATTTGCATCCTCCCTTGCTGGTGGATCACATCACGAATTTGGAGGAAGAGAGGAACGGGAAAGGGACCACTTCCTGCTTGTCCTTCCTTAAATATGAGTCGTCTTAATTATTCACTTCCTGCCTGGATTACCACTTCTTTACTACATTTTCCAGAATCCTCCCACCTAACTTGCTGCCTCATTGGCCAAACAGTACTTTATTCAACAATCAATAAGATAAACAGACACAGAAGTACATTACCCATCAGAGTGGTATTTTATCATAATCATCATCACCAACACTATTATCAGTATTATTTATTTGTGTACTGGTTGGTAAGCTGAATGTTAAGGTAACACATGTGGAATTCAAAGAACAATCTGTGGAGTATATTCTCTCTTTACACTTTTACACACAATCTGAGGATGGAAGTGTGTTTGCCAACTTGCATATCAAGTGTTTTAATCCATTGGCCCATCTGGCTGACCTCTAAAATGGTTGTTTTAAACTCATTCAATTGCATTCGAGAGTGACAGAGGGCTGACACATATTTAAACCACAGTTATCTAGACAGGATGGAGAACTTATCACTCCTAAGATAGTTATTTTATGTAAAATTTGAACATTTTCTGACCTTACATAATGAATTTCTACCACAATTTTGACAAATACTGTCTCTGTCTTAGACTCAGCAAGTTTATGAATGCAGGATTTTAGGAACCCATGTTCAGTCACTGGGTGTTTAAAATTCTTCTCTTTTAAACCTTTAATAGTGCCAGCAAATGGCTCACTATGTAAAGGCACATGCCCCCAAACCAGAAGACATTACACCCATTCACAGGATATAAGTAGTAAAAAGACAAAAATGCCTTCCTACAAATGTCCTCTGGCCTGTGACCTCTACACACACACCCAGACACACCCAGACACACACACACACACACACACCCAACACACACACACACACAC